AACAATTATATCCATTTTGGCTTTGGAGTATTAAAGACTTGAAAAAAAAAAAAAAAGAAGAAAATTACTTAAATAGTACTTAATAAGCCAGTGGTAATCATAACCAAATCATGCGGTTCTAATCTCATCAAACATCATTCCAGACTCAATCAGATCATTGTCAAAAAGAATCAAGTATTTTCCATGCAGAAAACAGCCTTTAGCAAATTCTACGGCCAAATATTTTTCTAAAAACAATCAATTATATACATATAAATTTTAAAAATCTAAATAGTAAATAACATATATATTCTTGATAATTTATTAAATTATATTTGTTTCTTTATTAACATTAATTGAAGTTTTCGTTGAAGTAAATTTTCTTTAATTGAACATTAAAATCCTTATTAAAGTAAACCTTTTTTCTTAATTGATAACCTTTTTATTAAATTAAATATTAGTAATTTGTATCTATCTATTTTCTTATAATGAATTCTTTATTAAAGTGACTTATTCTTTAATAAAAGTGAAAGTTAACTATATTAAAAGCTAGAACTTTTATTTTATTGGCCGTCATGAACTTGCAACACCATGATTTATAAGCCACAACTATAACATTACAATTAACTTTGACAATTGAGTAACAATTGGTTAACAGAACAATCTATGTTTTTTATTATTCTATTTTGGTTACATTTAGTTATAATGACTGTTAAATTTATTTGTAAATCTCATCATTTCCTTGTTAAATTTTAATGTATAATTCATTTATTTTTATATATAGATTACACGTTATAAAATTTAAATTTATTAAATTTTAATATTTTGCATGAAATGCATTCATTAAATATTTATTTGAATAAAGATGGACTATCATATCCACAAACTTGATCATCTCGATAATTATTAATATAACTTAAGCATGTAAATTAGATTAATTTAAATTGTTTATTTAAATATAAAATTGTTTGATAAAAAATCTTTTTCACACTCGCTGTTATGATTAATTACATATATACAATGAATTCATATGCCTAAGAGAAAAAAAAAACTTTTCAAACATAGATTAAATGCTTCTCTTATTGGAACATATTGTACATAACACATGAATTAAATAGACTTTAATTTAGTACAATTATTAATTGATATAAGTAATTATGTGTAAAATATATTTTACATTAAAGATTTTATTATAATATTATGTTTATTATTGAAAAATCATAATATTTATGTGTAACAGACATTTGAGGAAGAGCAGTCTATAAAAAAACATATGGGATACAGGCTGCTTCCAGCTTTGGCTTGGTGGTTGGGTACATTTAGGCTGAAATCTTTGTCCGGCAAAACCCATTTCAAGTCAAACCAAAATCCCAACAGCGGGTGATTTGAGAATTATAGTATTTATTCCTGGTTTCCCTGAAATGGACAGCAAATCGAAAGGTTACGCAATGTAATGCGATGCAGGGTTTGATATTTGAACTTGACCTGAAACCCTGAGGTGTAGCGGAGGTTTTGGGAATTAAATGTGGGGAGGAGTAATGAGAATCACGTGAGGAACCACAAAATGGAAACAAAATCTAAAGAAAGATTCAGAGCAAGAGCCACTTAGCCAACAAGCGGGGCCAACAGAGGAAAAGAAAGTGGATTGTGAGATCACTGGGGAGGGGGGCGGGATGGCTTACCCCATTTCACAAGGACAACAACAGCTGTGACTCTGTAATTCACTGTTTATCTAGCAGTTGAATTGCCCCTTTCTTCTTTGCTTTCTCTCTCACACACGTATATCTTTCATGCTTTATTACTCACCTGGGCTTAATTAAGCGTCCCTTGCATGGCCAGACTTTTTAAAGTCGTGTTTAAGCCCTCCGCCCCCCCTACCTCTTCCCTTTTCCTATTTGTCACTACTGTTGTGCTCTTTTAAACAGTGATGACATATCAAAATCTAAGCCCATGTGTCATGTCAAAATCAGCTTAGATTCTCTCCCTGTCTCGCTCTCGTTTCCTCAAGAGGGCTTTGCTTCTTCCTTTCAATTAAGGGATAGCAGTGCAGAGACAGCTTGGCTTTGATACACTACAACGGTACCGCTAGCTTCTTCTTTTGTCAACCTAGCTAACCTAAGCAACAAAAGAAAAGGATCATATCATTTAAAATACACGGAGCAAAACCAATTAAACTAGGCACATACTAAGACTCCCCTCTATACTCCTATTAATTCCCAAAAGAGTGAAAATAGCTTTATAGAGACTAGTGGTTGGAAGAATTCACAGCCAAAAAAAAAAAAACGAGTGAAGTCTGTGGGGTTTCCTTTTCAGCAGTAATTTCAGGCCCATGTCACAGCATCCCCAACCCCAAAGATACCACATGTGCCTTTAATGTTTTCTGAATACTACATGGCTTTAAAAATGCTATCCATTTTGCTTTTACTCCTCGCTTGTTAATGGCTGAAAACTATGAAGGATGTTTCTTTTTTTTGGTAATGTTGGTTTTTAAGAGCAAACATGTTTTCGACTCGCAAGGAATGTGAAGAAAAGGAAAGCGTCCTGCCCATTTCATATTTGAAAACTCCTTCACGTGATGGTTAATAAGCAATTAAAGCTAAGAGCTCACTCTTTTGTCCTTTGGTAAACAGTTACCCACTGTTTCTTTTCTTCCTTCTCCCCCAACTAATTATCCAGGTAAACAGCTGAGCCCTTTTGTTGTTTCCTTGGAGATGACCTAACAAAGTTTATCTTGGATTATTCTCCAATACCCACAATCCCTTCTGTTTACATAAAAATACTTTGGTCAAAAGAGAAATACTTCTTTTATTATAGTTTACAAGCAAAGTAATCACTTTCAAGTAGAATTTGGAAAATTAATTTTTCAAGATAAGAGTCTCACCACTGCCACATAAATGCAATCTGTAAAAAAACATATTTTCTTATTTTTTTCAAGATGTCAACAATAGTGTAGTGTTTTTCTAAGTTAATTTTGGTTTAAAACCCAAAAAAAAGTAATGGTCAAAAATAGTGTTATTGGACGACAATTCGGCATGGCAAGTGCAGGGTCATAAGTCATAAGTCACAACACCGAACCATGATGTGATAAGTCGATGGGTAAGGATCCATCAAGAACTGAAACTGAGACCCAAAGCGGCCTGGGCCATCTTTTGCCTAGAGAGAACATACATACATACATATATTATATATATCAACGAAAAACAAGCGGTTTTGGTATTGTAAGGATGATGGGACACCTCGTGAAGCAGAATCAACCAACAAGATGGTCTGTCGTGACGGCTATGGCCGTAGGGGGCTGTTACCAAAGAATTTCACAACATCTACTGCCTTAGCCGATTAATTGAGCCGACCCAACCCCCAATCCCCATCGCTATGCCTACCTACAAAGGCTTGTCCAATCCTCCGCCTGGCCAATACTTCGCATAAAAATATCTTTTATTTTGTTAGCATTAATAGTATTACCTTGCGAGAAAAAACACTAGTTTCTTCTGAAAGCCGAATGGTCAAACTTTTACTAAATAAAGATTTTCATAGTCAATATTAGATATATTGCGTATGCGACATGTCTCCCCGCAGCAGGAGGAGGAATGGGTCCAGATCTTACCAAGTACAGATTCTATTTACTGTGTTATAGTCACTTCTCTTTTGTAAGCGTTCGTCTCTGTGCTCAACGTGAAAGAGCAACTACAACTAAACTTTACCCAGTATACAGTTATATCATCATTCAAGTTATTAAATTATTTTGTCTGGATGTAATTAGAAATAGTGGGTTACATTTAGCGAGAGTTCAAAACCCTTTCTTAATCTTAAATCCCCTCTTTCTTGTAAAAGGATCTGAACCTTTGAAATTCAACAGGATCGGTTTGAAGCAAAAGAGGTTTTCTTTTCCCCCTTTTTCAGCGTTTAAACATGATCTTGCACGGTAATCCAAGGCAGTGGTACAAGCTTTAGCTCCTAAAAGAAACAGAATCCAACGGGATCAATTAGCAAATAAAGTTTTGTTTGTTCAACAAAAGCTTCATAGAGATCCTACTTCCAAGTCCAATTAAGTGGCTTTGGCATTGATGTCACGTTTCAATTAACGAACGACCATCTGCCTCTTGAAATCAATTAGAATCTCAATTATCCCAATCCGCGTGGAAAGGACCCGACTTATGGGTATTCTAAGAGATTATATGCCCCAATACACCATAGTTCTTCCAATGTTGCACAAAGCCAGTAAAGAACATTACACTATAGATACAGCCCTGCAACAACAGCCTTCGGGGCTCCAACTTTTTAACCATCATGGCAATAAGAAACAATTAGAACAGAGAGCCAAGTGGCATTGCTAAACCCCCACAGTTTACTTGAAACAATTGAACCTTGGAGAACAGGCTATCGATGAGGAGTTAATCAACAAGATATACAATCCTCTTCATGCATCTAGAGATACATGCAATCGAGTTAGGCCGATAAGCAGATTTAAGTACTTATACTCTAACATCATGCACTCCTAATACAGCAATCAGACAAACTTTCCAGACAACTCTTACCAGCTTCAGCGTTACCAAACCGTTTTACCATAGGGAGGAATTGACGGTGATCCAATTCGATTTTAACTAGGCTATGAAATCTGCTTTAGTTTTCTGTGATTGGTCCCTGAAGGCAATCACGATGTGCAACTGGGGCCAATCAGAATCTTCTGTCGGAGAAGTAGAGGAACAAAACAGTAAGGTTAGAACTTTCATATCTATGCATAGAGGAACATACCTATGCATATCACGATATGCAACTGGGCCAACTGCAGCTACATTGTACAACCAAAACAACTACACCAATGACCTTAAGCTTTTGCGCTTAGCGGTTCACATGGCTCTCTCTCTCTCAATTAACAATATATTATCTGTTCCTCTGTCATGTTAAACAACAATAATATTATTATTCCATTTGGTTATTTCTAATTATTTGCTAACTGGGGGGTTGGAAAGATAGTCATCCTGCTACATTCATCTTAAAAATTCGGAAATGATTCACAGAAATAAAAATGAAAGTGCATGGTAGCAGTTACAGAAAGAGCTAGCACACCCTCCTTAAGAGAAACAATCATTACACATTTAATGCTAATTACCACAAATAAAATATTCAGAGGAATGTATCACCATGCTACAACCTAGAAGTTTGGAGATCAAAAACTAATAAGAGATTTCGCTAATCTGTTATAACTATAGCAGATTTGTACAAGGTATACATAAAATTTGCGAAAATTGATGTCTCCAGGAAGCAACCTCATGGCAGATGTTGCGTTGTCAATGTTACCATCTTCGTATCAATGATGTAAGCAACTGCAACAGAAGTTATCAATTCTCTATTAACAACATGTTTTTCATTGTATGAGCAGAAGAGTAATACCAATTCAACCAAGCCACAGGTGGTAACATTAATTTGTTGAGAAATTGCACTTAAGATCATACTAGAGGAGTATATCCTTGACATTAGACAAAGGGATTTGAAAACATTTCTTCTTTCAGCTCATAATGAAAAAGAAACAGCAAAAAGGTGATGTTTTGTAGTATGGCTTTGATTATTAAGTTCTTCCTTTTTTAGCATAAAAAAAAAGAACAAATACCTTGCCTTGGTTCAAAATTTTCCCAAAACCACCAATGAACCAAAGAATATTGAAGGGTTCCAATTCATAAATATGCAGAACCTCTAGAATGAAGCACCTCCCATAATATAGGAGATCATTGCTAATTTCAAGATGATTTCTCAATTTGAAAATCACAGTAGATAACAAAATGTATTAAAATGAACTTGCGTACATAAGATGAAAAGCTTAAAATTATTTTATGAACATGGTGAATCACGAAATGTTCTCATACCTCAAATAGTTCAAACGGACTGCCACGTCTGTATACATCATTCTTCTTCTTTGTTTCATCGGGGAAAATGCTTATCAGTAGTGTTCTCCACCCAATAAGCAACACAGAAGTGCTTCCCATTGTTACTAAGACAAAGGGATATGGTGGAATATGTCCTGATGTTGCAGCTCGTATAATCAGCCCCAACTGTCAAAATAGAAAACAGAACAGAATATAATTTACCTAGACATGTTGTCACCTAGGTATGACCAATGCAACTAGAAATGAAAAAGAACTGGGGGTGAAAATGTAACTTAAAGGTAACTAAGTATAGCATAATCTGAGAATGCATTGACCAAGTCTCACATGTCTATAATGAAATATACAACTTAACTTTGAATGGAGATGACAAACAAAAGTTACGTTAGGACAGTTTGATGGTGGGCTAAGATGAGCAAGCCCGTTTAAGACAAAATGTTATACGAGGAGCACTAGAACATCAAGTGGAAAACAACACAACGAACATGTTGATTCTAAGGTTTCTAAGCAATATCATGAGGCAAGCAAGAGCACAATATTAACCTCTTAACAAAAGAATCATTTAAGTTAATTATGTAGCCGCACCTAGCCCCTAGAGTAGAGTTACCAAGTTCAAATCCCCCTCTCCCAAGTTTAACTTGAAAATAAACCCAACAATCATTCTAATTGTTATGAATTTATGGTCATATACTCATAAGAATAGTTTAAATTTGGAAAAAGGAAGAAAATTGGAAACTCACAGGAATTCCCAAAGCCCAAGATTTGGCAGCAGCAATAACGGCTTGGGATAGACCATTGGCTCCTCGACCATCCTCACCATAGCCACCAAGGAAGTATGCACTCAAAAACCATCCTGTCAATCCACATACCCTTTTACCCCTTTTTTTAAAGTTAAATTAAGAAATCATTTTCTCAAATTACAGAAAAAGAAAGTACCAGCCATAAAAGGGTCAGCTGTACGTAGAGTATCCATTGCAAATATAGGGAGGCCATGATTGTATCTTCCAATTGCAGAAAATAAAAGCAAAACTAATACATCGCCACCAGCTAGCAAAGCCACTCGACTGTTGCATAACAATTGAACCAGTTAAAAGAACAAGAAAATAAAGAAAAAGATGAAAAAGTAAAACGTAAAAAAGAAAAAAGAAATTACCCCCATTTGATAAGACGAGAAGAGGAGCTGGGTTTTTCAAACTGGATAACGCCTTCCAAAGGGACATCTTCTTGACCCACAAAAACGGTGTCGTTATTGTTGAAAGAAGGCGGCGGAGGGGGAGATTGTTTGGGAGCGGAGGCAGAGTCTCGGCCTCCCTCAGCCTTGGCGAGAGTGAGGTGAAGGCGTTTGGGAGAATTTCTGGTCGGAATGAGTTTGGGTCTTCGACTAGAAGCGGAATTAGAACAGAGAGGTTGAATTGGAGCCCTAAATTTGAGGGAACATTTTCTAGCGGACAAAGCTCCGCTTGGAGAGCTTAGTAGAAGCATGTTTCTCTTCTTACGTTTTGTGAGTTTTTTGTGAGGCTCAGGTCACGCTCACCTCCTGGCTTGCTTGCACCCCGCAAATTGCAATTTGAACAAATTATTAATGAAAATAATAAATTCGAGGGAAAAATAGCGTTGATATTCTCTTACACACTATTCTCGCGGACCTGAATAAGGATACGCAATTTCCTTTTTTCTAGTTTTCTTTCCTACTTTTCTATGGATTTGATCATTTGAACAGAAATTGTTGAACGTGGTCCGTCTGTATGATTGGTCCATTCGAAATCATACGGTCCCCCAGTAACGATTTTGATCATCTATTAAGCTACAAAATCGAAATTTGATGAAATGATTGGATTTAATAAAAAAGAAAAAGATTGTATAGTTATAGGGTAACTTATTTTTGGCCACTGCGAAACCAAGATATGGCTGATAGTGGCTTAAAAGGTAACTTTATAGTTCTAGAAATTGCTGGTATGCGGTACTAACAAACAAGGCAACAGCAGGAATGAGAGATGAGATTGCGATTTTATAAATTCTAAAAGGATTTTCATGTTTGACAAAAATAGCCACGGATGAGAATACCAATTCTTCTTATCAAAGGAGGAAGGATATTTATTCCCCTCAAAAACAAAACTCAACATCATGATGGTAAAATCCAAAAATGCAGTGTGTGCATTATGTAAATGGCACGCCAAAGAACTCTGAAGAAGAAAATAACCAACAATATGCTGGAACACCAACACATCTTTGGAAGAACAATCTTAAACCAGCCTCTCACCATCAAAGGGTAAAAGCCTTCACCTAACCTTCCAGAGGCAATTCATCTCACAAGAAGACAAAAATATAGATCAGTTCCACGATCAGACTAATAATCGTCTTGAGCAATGGAATTCTTGGTTAACTTTAAAGAAGAAAAAGATTTGTCCTCTTCTTGTTAGGAGTATTTCGATCACAAATGCTCTCAAGAATAGAAATCCAAAATAATCTGAAAGCAATTGATTGTTGCTCACCTTTCAGCTACATCTCAATACAAGTGGGTCTGTGTGAGTGCATGCAAGCATGTTTTAGTCGTTTAAGAGAAGAATGAATAAATTAATAAAGCCATATGAGCAACGGTACCAATGGATATGTTAAGGTTAAGTTGGAAGTGGGGGAACAATCGGGAAATTGATGAAACCAATGAGATAATAATAACATCAATGCCCAAAAGGGACCAAGAAAGCAATTGCTTGCATCCCAACATGCTTCTGTATTGCTTCATTATTAACAAGGCCTAACAGAGAGGTGAAATGCACAAGAGAAGAATCCAAATGCAGTTATATTACAGAGTGCTGAATTCTGTACTGAGAAATCATAATACTTAAGAAGAGACATTAATGCAGCATATTTATGACCCAGAAGATTACATCTAAAAAGGACACTGAACAGTGATGGTTAAACTGCCTAAGCCAATCAGTTAAAGAATTTACTAACCCTTTGAAACCCAAAAAGAGCTAAGTAAAAATCATCTAGAAGCAGCTACAGGTAAAGGCTTAAGTTGTCCATCAAGACCATTCTGATCCTGTTCACTAGAAGCACCACCACTACGCTCTTTTAAACCCGGAGAACCACTATCCAAGTTTACCCCTTCAATCTGAGGGGGCATGGCATTAGCAGGCAGATCTCCAAAGCCACCAGGAACCTGATTCTGTTTCCCATCCACTGAAGTTCCAATAATCCCATTGTACACACCAGATACTGTACCCATCAGACCAACCCCACCATTCATATAAGCAGGATAGATGGATGCACCGCCATAAGGCAGAGGGCAAACTCTTGCTCCAAGCATTACAGGGGCATACAGCGGGCTCCTAGGAGTAGCTGGAGTGACACCATAACCAAACCTACCATAAACTACTGTAGGGTACCCACTACCATAAACACCTGTTCCATAAACATATCCCCCAACAGCATCATACCCAGGAAGAGGAGCATAACCAGGAAAGATTCCATATCCAGGACTATTGGAAGGGTACTCAACAGGCTGAAAACCATTATAAAGAGACCCCCTTACAACGCCAGCCTTCATGTTATGATTACTGTTACTGCCGTTATTTCCCTCTTTTGGGACTGCACGCTTGACCTCCACAAGCCTATTATTCAGCTCATGAAAACTCTTCTGCATTACATTTTCCACGGACTCCTCCGATTCAAAAGTAACAAACCCAAATCCCCTAGGTCGGTTAGTCGAGCTGTCATGCATCACTACCACATCTGTTATTCTACCAAATCTTTCAAAGTAATTCTTGAACTCTTCCTCAGTTAGACTAGCAGACAAACCACCTACGAAAATTTTTTTAGTCCTAAACTGATTATTGCTGTCAGCAGCATCACTACCATTCCTACTTAACCCACTACACCGTTGTTGATTTGGATTGTGGTGTAGTTGCTGCTGTTGCTGTTGGTTTTGGTGTTGTTCACCTCGGGGTATCGCTTTTTTAACTTCTACCTAGAAAACCAATTAATAATAATACATTAAACAACCCAAAATAATGGCATGCTATCCTTCCCTAAACAATTTCTCACTTTTTACGGCAAGCAAACAGAGTAAATAAATGAAAGTGACTTGAGTGAGGAAAGAGAGCTTGGAACTGACCGTTCTCCCAAGAATAACATGGGTGTCTTGAAGGGCTTTATCAGCCGAAGAAGGTTCAGAGAACAACACAAAGCCAAAACCCCGAGGGGTTTTCGTATTCCTGTCTTTAGCTACAACTGAGCTCATAACGTTGCCATATCTGCTGAAATGATCCTTGAGAATAGCTTCAGTTGTCTCCCGAGATATGCCTCCCACGAAGAGTTTGCCTTGATCAGAGTCCATGCTCTGCTAAAACCCTAGCCCCCCAAAACCCTGACTACTGAAATCAACCAAAATAAAAACAAAAAATTCCTAATTGCACCAAAAGAAACACCAATTACAGTAATTTACCCAAAAATACCCTAATTGCTGTAAGAACAGTAGAAGCCTTAACCCTAAAACCCTAGAAATGTTGTACCACTGGGAATAAACAGTTAAAAACCCTAGAAACCCTAAACACAGCAGAAACCCGAAAATTCCCAATTGGAATAAAACCACAGTAACTCTAATCGAAAACAATTAACCTCAAAAAACCCTAATTTCAACAAGAATAATAAAAACCCCAGGACTAAGCTTTCTAGGGTTTCATGGAAAAACCTAACAAAAGAACTCGTGGAAGTAAAAAAAAAAAAACAACGAACAGAAGAAATTGAGGTAAAAGAAAAACCTTTGTTTGTTTTTTTGTCCTTTGGCCTTTTTTTTTTTAACCTGAAGAATGGGGGAAATAAAAATAAAAAAGGAAATAAAACAGTTTAGCTTCTAACGGAGCGACGAACCAGCGTAAAAGCAAAATTTTGTTTCGAGGAAAAGTAGATCAAAAATGCAGGTGGGAAATTTGGAATTAATTGCACTTTCTGGGCTTCAGTTAATAATGGTAAAAGCAACAGGCTCACTGTGGATCTCAATTAGCAGGGCCTGATCAATGGGAAACGAACCTTCTGCGTTATTGGGTTTTAATGCTCAAAAGCCTAACAGGCTTGGAAGTTACTACTATGCATAGAGACTTGGGCCATAAACAGGGCTACAGATAATGGATTCAACCTGCCTCCCAGCTCTTCTAAAGCTTTTAGTAACTACAGCTTATAGGCTATACTATTATGGTGCATTTGGACGCGGCCTAATGACGTATACCAAGCTAAAGAAATAAGACGATTGATATATA